CCGGCGGTGGAACACTCCTGCCTCAGCCCAGCGACGGGGTACCCCAGGCTGGTGTTCTCGCCTCCTGAGCACCCCGTCACCCGCACATTGGCAAGCAGGAGTGGGGATGATTTTCTCTTCTAGGTGAGGCAGCTGCTGCCCCAAGTCTGGGGTGTGTTTCCCACTCTGGTGCCCAGGCCTGGGGATCTGCATTTCTGACAAGCTTTCCAGGTGATTCGTAGGCAGCCAGCCTGGAATTTCCACCCCCTTAAGAACAGTTTTTCCAAATTGTTCACGACCCATCTGTGGTTCGCAAGATCAACCTAGTAGGCAAAGACTAGCGTGTTACTTTAAACGAAACTGAATTGAAAATACAGGAGAGCATTACGAGGTGGTAAGGGTGTGTGTTGCTTTGTGAAGCTTGTTCCCCGCGGTCTGTGTGTGCCGGGTCACCAGGATGGCAGCTGTACTGCAGGAGGGTTGCAGTCAAGGGACTCAAACACTCACGTAGGGCACAAGGTCTAATCATGGGCCAAACCAGCAGCTGACCCTCCTCCTCTCCGGGTGCCGCTCCATCCGCATCCCCCAGAGCTTCTGGACTCACCTCTGCTGGTTTCTTGTTTTTTCTCCCTTCTCCTAGGTCCCTTGCCTGAGCCCTTTACCAACGGGGAGATTCAGAAGGTAAAGGCAGACCCCCCAATGCTCCTCTGGCCCTCAACAAGCCAGGGGCTGTAGGAGAAGGGTGGAAGGCAGCATGGCTGGGATAAGGACGGCCGTTGGGCTCAGGTTGCGGCCCCCTCCTGAGCCCTGAGCTATGGAGCTGCCCGCGGTGCCCCCCTCAGCCCCTGTGTGGAGCACTTAGGCGGGAGGGAGAGGCCTGGCCGGGCCCCTCGCAGCCCGCTATCCTGGTGACAAGCCCCGCCTTCAACTCCCCACCGTACAGAAGAGGCCATTCTTCCCCCCAAGAACAGAGCTTCAGTGTCTGGACGCACGCTGCCTGGGCCCTGCTACTTCCAGTCTGGGTTGGAAGAACAAAGCCCCTCCTCCCCTCCTCCCTGGGCAGAAGGGAAGAGAAGGCCGTGGAGGCTGGGGAAGAGATGGTGGGGCCTGGTGCCAGCTGAGGCCGCAGAGGAACCCAGGCAGAGGCTGAGCACCAAGCTGAAGCCTTGGCCAAGACCTTCACTCTGGGACAGGCTGACTCCGAGTCAGACCACAGAGCTGGAGTTTTCTACAGGGCCTGCTCAGAGGGTTCCCATCCCCAGGGGCTACTGTGGGGGAGGAGGGTGGCCTTGGGTCACCTGAACCTTCTGTCACCCCATCTGTGGGCCTAGAACTCTCATCCCTCTTATTCCTCCAAAGCCCTTCTTAGCTGCTTTGGGGTTAAGGTTTCAAAATTCCTGGGGTCAAGTGCAAGGAAGCAGGTGGGCTGCAGGAAATTCAGGGAGTATCACACAGTTCCCTGTGCCAGGCAGAGGCCCCCAGGATCCCCACACTCCCCTCAAAGCCCCTCCACGGTCACTGGCCCAAAAGGCTAGTCGACGCTGAAGGCCACTTTGGGAGAGCTGGGGGGTGGGCGGTGGGGGCATGTGAGCAGTTTAGCTAATCCCACGGTGGTCCCTCCCACTTGGGTGGTAGAACCAGCCTGCCCTCTGATCCTTAGAGGAATGTGAAATGTCAATCCCCAAAGCTGGCCAGCCAGCCCCCCCAACCCCCTACACTCTCCTACAGACTAAGGCAGTGTGGCTTTTGGGTCGATGGGAAAGGCTTGTGTGGAGTTTACCAGACCAGGGCACCTGTCTTCCGTGGGAACACTCTTCCTTGTTCAAGACTTTCCCACTCCATCCCTTGCCAACCCACACTCCTCCTCTCTGTGCCAGGAGAACAGTCGTGAAGCTCTGGCCGAGGTGGCCTCTGAGAGCCCCAGATCAGCCCTGGCAAGATCCATCTCCAGTGATACCAGTGAGGAGGTAGGCTGTTGGCTGGGCGGGCAGAGGGTGGCACTGGGTTACAGGAAGCCCATTCCCAGGCCACGCTCGTTCCTGGCACACCAGCCTGCCTTGGAGGTCACATGCTGTGCCACGTTCTGTCCTTGTGACCTGGCTTCCCTGGGCACTGCCCCAAGGGAGCCACCTTGCTGAGGCTGAGGACCGGGACGCCTGGCCGGGTACTGACTCCCTCCCTCTGCTGTCACCTCCTCTTCGCAGCTGAACTCCCAAGACAGCCCCAGGAAACAGGACTCCACGGCCCCCTCGTCTACCTCCTCCTCCTCTGACCCCATCTTGGACTTCAGCGTCTCCCTGGCCGTGGCCAAAGAGAGGGCCCATCAGAAGCGCAGCAGCAAGCGGGCCCCGCAGATGGACTGGAGCAAGAAAAATGAGCTCTTTGGCAACCTCTGAGCATCCTTCTGCTGGTGCCCAGGAAAGCTGGGAGGGCCTGGCCAGCCCCCAGGCTCCAGCCCTGCTCCCTCGCCCTCCTCCTCACTCACTCCCTGCTCCTCCTCCAATCAACACTTAAATCAGCACCAGCACCCTCCCTGCCCCCACCCCCACAGTGAATCTGATTTTTCTAGACAACAGTGCTCTTCCCTTACCTCTGGAAAGATGAATGTGTTTCCATCCTGCCCCGACCAGAAAGCAGACTCTTTACTGCCCCTCGTCCGGGAGTGCTCCAGCTCCTTGCACTCCCCAGGGACATCACTGGAACGCACACCAAGCAAGGATGGGGGGACCTGGCGAGAGGTCCCATTCCCTTGCAACCCCAAGTGATGCCTAAGTCCGGGGTTGGTGAGGACCCCCAGTGACAGCAGTGACACTGCGGAACGGACAGGGGTCCATCTTCCTCAGAGCCGGGGTTTGGGCATCTTACTTTAGTTGATTGGATTTTTTGAGTGCAGTACCAGAATTTAGAGGGATTTCTGTTTCCTTAATTAACATGATTTGTCAGGTTGTTGCATCCAGGACATGGCATCAACCTCAGCCTTGAACTTTGTTCCTGCCCTGGAGCCCCGGGCAGCATGGGGGCAGATCTCGCCATCCCCTGCCCAGCCACCCTAGTGTAAGGAAACTCCATCAAATTCAGCTGGCTTCCATCCTGCCTCAGCCTCTGTGTCGTCTTTTAGAGCTCTGGGTGTCCCCAGGGTGTCCCCTCACCCTCTGGCTGAGGGTGGCGTCATCCAGGCTTCTGGAACTCTGGTGGGGGAGTAGTACCAGGTGGGCAGCTGTATTCCGAGGGCTCGTAGCTGCCTGCCTGCTACCCGTGGGAGTGGGACCTGCCCAGCTCCTGAATGGATGCACACCCCCCACCCCCCCAACAAACCTTCAGGTAGGAAGGGGGAGGGGAGGTTCACATGCTCCGAGGACGTCCTGCACTTTCTGATTCAGGAGCACAGAAATGGTGAAGGCCCCAAAGGAGCTGCATGTAGAATGCAGAGAGGGGCTCCAGCGTCTTTTCCACTCGCGGCCAGGGGGTGCAGGAGCGGCCAGGGCTGGCGGCAGATCCTCCCATCTCATCCGGCTGTGGACACGACCAGAGGGCAGCTGTCCAGGACACGCTCTGTGGCAGGTGGGGTGGAGGGGGCTTTCCAAGGGCGAAATAACCCTGGTGCTCAAGAGGTCCAGGTCTTCCCCACCGCTGGCACCTGAGGCCACATCCTGGACGTCTGCCAGGGTGGCCCACGAGGGCTGAGGCTGCCAAGCCTGGAGGTACTTGGACGGAAGGGAAGCTGATGCTCAAGGAGACCGCTAACCAAAGACCCGGGGAGCCCCTGGGGTTCAGAGAAGGCTGGGGCGCATCTGGCTGCTTGGCCTCTGAGTTGATTCCCACCAGCCTTAAGAGAAACCATTCCAAACCTTTTCCTAGTACCCTGGCCTTGGACCTGGCCCACTCCCTCCCAACTTTGACTCTAGTTTGTGACCCCTGGTGGAAGCCCCTGCCAGGTAAGCAAGGCCTGAAGACTGCTCCACGGGGCAGCAGAGGGGGACCCCCCCCCAAACTGGGGGCCCCTGATGCAGCGATGGAACTCCTATCACTGAGCGGCCAGACACACTACAAACTGTACTCAGCAAGCAGAGTCGGGACTCTAGCTTCCCACCTACACAGAAGTGTTGGAATATACCTGCGGGGGGAGGGGGGGCGGTGGGCGGTGGGCGGTGCTGGAAGCCGATGCCCCCAGCCACAGTTCTGGCTCTGCTACCTTAAGCAAGGTCACTGCAACTCATCTGAAGGTTTCCTCCTTTCGGGATTATGGGGTACCCTCAAGGTCTCTTCCATGGCCACGTTTTGAAACCTGTTTGGCCTCAACAGCCACAGAGGTTATGACGGGACAGGTGGGAGTTGAGGGATGTCCCGTGTCCTGTTGCTGGGCAGCCCCTGCCATCCCAAACCTGTGCCTCTGGCGCCCCCTTGTGGGTTTGTCAGGAGCAGCTGCTCCCAGAGGCCGAGGAGCAGATTGGGGGGGGGAGGTCAGGTCCCTTTGGGAAGGTACACAGAGCGGCTTCCGCTTTCTCCTGCAGCCCTTAGCTCAGCAGAGGCTCCAAGGTTCACCAGCAGAGGAAGCTCCAGCCACAGGGAGCTGTGCCCACAATGCTCCAGGGTCCAAAGAAGAGGGAGGACAAGGGTTTTGCCCACTTTCTAAGTCACCTGTTGTTCAGGGCCTAGCTCGTTCCCTTCCAAACTTCTGGGATCACGCTCAGCCTGCTGCTGCAGGATGAAAGCAGACTGAGCTCCTCCTGCCCTGACCCCACCATGCTGGCCAGGACGCTGCACATGGGCCCGAGGAAAAAGCCAAACAAGGTGCCGTGCAGTGCGGTTTACTCCCAGCCAGGGCCTCCTCCACAGGGTGCCTCTGGCCTTCCCTTCACCAGGCCCCCGGTCGCCTCTGCTCCCACCTCCACCCTGCCTCCTGGGGATTCACGCTGTCCACCCCGGGTTCCGAGTCCAGGGCTGGCCGGGAGGATGGGCTGTCTCGGAAGTCACTCATCCACACGGCCTGCCTGAGGGAGGCCAAGACCAGTCTGGCCCAGAGTCAGAAGGGCCCCACAGGGAGCGTCGCAGGCTACAGAGGGGCCAGGTGCACTGTGCCCCGGAGCCCCCAACAGTTCACCTTCTGTTACGGAGCTCTGCTGTTCTGTGTGGTCCCAGCATCCCCATTCACACAGGGCAGCTGCTGACAAAGCCAGCTGTCACTGGGACTCCGATGACCCATCTCCATAGCACCTCTCTTCCATGTGGCTGGTCTGCTCCAGAAGCCACTGCTGCTCATGCTCGTTCATCGTCAGCCTGAGCGTCACCTCTTGGAAGACGCTGCTCACAGCCACCTGTGTGAGCCAGAGAGAACGGCGGGGGGGGGGGACTACAACCACAAGCTCCAGCGCCACCCGGCCCCAGCACCTGCCTCAGTCCTCACTCTTCCACCAGCAACATCCTTACCTGCTCAAAGTGAAGCTTCTGGAACATCCGGATACTCGGTTCATTTCCTTGCCCAATTTTAGCCTCAAATTTGGTCAGACCTAGTTTGGTCACTCCTCCCAGAGAAGATGGGGGAGAGGGACAAGCCACAGAATGAAGCAAGCCCCTCACAGCCCCTGCCCTTCCCCTCCCACTTTGCAGTGCAGGCACCTGTCCCCTGGTCCCCACCCTCAGGCCTGAGGAAGGCCCCTCCCAACATGCCCCACCCCCCCACCTGGGGCCTGGCCACTTCCCCGCTGTCTCCGAGGCTTCCTTACCATAAGACATCATCATGAGAACAGCCTCAGTGCCAAAGCCTCTGCGCCTGCAGCTGGGCTCTAGGAGAAACAACGGCTGTCACTGGCGGCGTGTGCCGGACTCCACGGCAAACATAGCCGTGAGGGAGCCCAAACCTTGGTTCATCCTCAACTTGGCCCGGCTGGTGGTATTACCGCCATTGAGCAGACAGGGAAATAGAAGTCGAAATGACTTGCACAAGGGCTCCCAGCAACTCGACCCCAAAACTGACCCTTTAACCACAGTGTCCTGCCTCATTGGGACAGTCTTAGGGGAAGGCTGTGGACCAAGGGAGACACAGACTAGAGGGGGTCCTCCCACAGCGTGGGAAGATCTTGGGAGGGTCCTCAGCACTCAGCCCCCCAGCAGGGACAGGGCAGAATGAAGTCTGAAGACCACCTCCCCGCCCCCCGCTCCACAAACCAAAGGTTAAATTCACCCCTAAGCAGAAGACAGAAATAAAGCAGCCGACCAGGGGGGATCACTGCGCTGAGCACCCTACGCAGTCCTGGCCGGCTCAGGGTGCAGCAGCTCCACGGGCCAGAAGGAGGGAAGGCAGGGCCAGGCAGAACCAACCTGCAATCATGACCTCAATCTCCCCCAGGGAGGGGTCCCCCAGATCTGTGAGAAAGAGGTTTACGTCTCCCGCCATGCAGATCTCTTCAGTGGTGCTAGGCCGGGCCTGCCACTTCTCTGCATCCAGCACGATGAACGTACACTCTGAGGAGGGAGGCGACACAGTTATCACCTACCCTCCCCGAGGAGGCGATGGGACCACAGTCTTCCTACCCAAACCACAGAACTGGAGAGCACAGTGGGCCAGAAGGAAAACGAGCCAAGCTTCCCTTAGCTAATGACAAAGCCCTAAATTTGTCTTATGCAGGAAGGAATGGAGCCCCAACAGCAGCTGTGTTCTCAGAGAGCAGGAACCACAACTGTGTTTGAGCCAGACCCGTGAGGGGCAGGGCCTCCAGGTACAGCCAGAGCCCTACACGCTCTACTTTCTCCAAAATCATTCCAAGTCTGATGCTGTGAGTGGGGGCAAAAAGACAGAAGCCTCAGTCATGGGGCCTGGCTTCCACGGGCATCAGAGTAGGATGGTTTCTGGCACCTTCCAGACTTTTCAGGAAGGGTTTTTTTCACAAAGCTTCTGGGGCCCAGAAGGCTACAGCTGGAATGAGAAAGGGAGGGAAGCCGGAGACCGCCTCGCCTCTGGAGCCAGCCCTCCTGCTGCCAGCCCGGCCCAGGGCCTGCGCTCCTCACTGTCCGCATCCTCCCGCCAGCTCCGCTGCATGGAATGTTCCTGCTCCAGAGTCAGGGGCTCCGAGGCGGTCAGACGCCGCAGCTCCTCCGATCTCATCCACTCGTGGTACCTGCAGGGACAAGGGGACGGCCTTGGGCATGCAGGACTGACTCAGGAGTAGGGTCTGACATTTTCTGAGATGAAGAAGTGGATGGTAGGAAGGAGCAGCCCGCAGGGCTAACACGGGGCTCATGAAAGATCCAAGGAGGGGCGTGCGGGTGGCTCAGTCGGTTAAGCGCCTAACTCTTGATTTCAGCTCAGGTCATAATCTCTGGGTTGTGAGATGGAGCCCTGCATCCGCCCAGAGCTGGGCGTGGAGACTGCTTGGGATTCTCTCTCTGCCTCTGCCCCTCCCACTGCTCACAACTTGGCGCTCGTGCACGCTCCCTCCAAAAAAAAAAAACAAAAACAAAAACAAAAACCGAAAACAAGGAAAGGGTTACAAAAGCCAAGGCAAAGGGCCAGAAGCACAAGCCCTAGAAGCAGGGGCACCTGGGTTGCTCAGTTGTTAAGCGTCTGCCTTCAGCTCAGGTCATGATCCCAGGGGTCCTGGCATTGAGCCCCCCAAAAAAAAAAAAAAAAAAAAAAGGTCCTAGAAGCAGGCTAGTCTTACAAGAGAACAGCAGCAGGAGGGTCCATTCTGTCTCTCCAACTTCCCATCCTGTCTCAGGGGTCAGTGCGGGAGGAGTCGTCTTAAGTCAAACATTCCTCAAATTCCTGAGCGAAAGTCTATGGCAAGCTGTAAAGACAGCTGGACATGCCTTCACAAAGGCCAGATTGGAGCCCCGAAAAAGAAAAACTACAGGGATGCCTGGGTGACTCAGTTAAGTGTCTGCCTTCAGCTCAGGTCATAATCCTGGGTCCTGAAATAGAGCCCAATCGAGCCCTGAGTGGGCTCCCTGCTCAGCAAAGAGCCTACTCCTTCCTTTCCCTCCGTTTCCCCTCCACCCCCCACTTGCGTGCACGTGCTTGCTCTCTCAAATAAATCTTTTAAAAAAAGAAAAACTACAAGGAGAGAGTACACCCCTACATCACCACCATCCCAGGCTACCAGACGTTTGCCAGCCGCCCTGGCAGGAGTCCCACCCTGAGACTCCGCTCTGGCCTTTCAGAACAGCAGACGTCAGAACAACCCATCAGTTCAGTTTTATGACAAGATACAGTCATGGCTTCAAGAACGGAGCATACCGGGGCCCCTGGGTGCTCAGTCGTTAAGCGTCTGCCTTCGGCTCAGGTCATGGCCCTGGGGTCGAGCCCTGCATCTGGCTCCCTGCTCCATGAGGTTACTTCAGGATTCTTTCTCCCTCTGCCCCCCTCTCCCAATCCCACTCTAAAATAAATAAGTCTTAAAAAAAAAAAAAAAAAAGAGGGGCGCCTGGGTGGCTCAGTGGGTTAAGCCGCTGCCTTCGGCTCCGGTCATGATCCCAGGGTCCTAGAATGGAGCACCACATCGGGCTCTCTGCTCAGCGGGGAGCCTGCTTCCTCCTCTATCTCTCTGCCTGCCTCTCTGCCTACTTGTGATCTCTGTCTGTCAAATAAATAAATAAAATATTTAAAAAAAAAGAACTAAGCATATTCACTGGCAACAGAGAAATGTCACTAATTTACAATTATGCAGTTTCTTTTCTTACACCCATTTAGTTTACATAAAATCATTCTCTGAAGAAAGTCCAAAATGGAAGCTGAAAGGATGGAAGGGAAATGCCGGGGGAGGGGTTGCTGAAGTCCTCAATCTGCTGGCTTCTTTCTGTAATGACTTCTCGCAGCAACGTTTCCACTTCCCAGAGCAAACAGCCTCTGGGATTTGGGATGAGGAAGGCTGACCCTCCTTGCTACATCCTGGGAGAGGAGTTTGCATCCCGTGTTAGGTGGACGGTTACCTAGGCACGTGCTCTGCGGTGTAAGGTACTAGCACCACCTTCTTCCCCAGCAGCAAGGTGTTCTCATTTAACCTCATGATAGCGACCTGCAGGAGGGGAGAGCAAACACTTCAGGACCCTGTGTTTCCTCCCCTTAGGGTTGGGAGCCCCGGGCCTTTATAATCGCTAGATGCCTCCCGGAGCTAAATTGTCAGAAGAACCCTGGTCCTTCTTTCTTTCCAAACATTGCAGAGAACACGGACTCTAGACCCCTTGCGAGAAGGGGAAGACGGCGGGTTAAAGAAAATTACAAAATCCTTGCGTCGCACCTCAAGGGACTAAATCTGAGCTGCCATTTCTGCGTGCCCCCTTGAAAACCTCAAACCCAAGCGCCAAGACTTAACCCCAAAGCTCCCATCACCTGCCCCTGTCCCGAGGCTCCACCCCAGGATCAACCTTCCGTCCCGCTTCAAGCTTATTTCCAGCCCCTCTTCCCCGCGACCAGCCCAGGCGCCGGACTCGGGCCCTCTCTCCTCCCCACCCACCGAGCCAGGTCTAACCCGGCCGCTGCGGGGTGAGGCAGGCTTAAGTTCTCAGTCCCCTCCCCTTTGTGTGGACAAGTAGGCTGCTCTCCTCTATCACCCCAACCGCCGGGGTCCCGGAGCGGTTCAGCTCACACCCACGCCCCGCCGACGAAGTAGTCCCCAGCGGACCCGGCGAACCACCCCTTCCGACCTGCCCCGCTCGCCCTCCGACCCGCGGCCCCCTTCCCGCAAGCGTCTGGGAGTGCCCCTCCCCCGTTTCCGCCACGCAGACGGCAGCCGCCCCGGCCCAATCCCGGTCCCGCCTCCGCGAGGCGCCCAATCAGCGCGCTCCGTCCCGCCCAGGGCGCGCACCGGCAAGGTGGACTCCGGGCGCGGGCGCATGCGCGCTGTGGGCGCTGGTGGGGGACAGCTGGAGCCGGCGGCGGTGGAGGGGCCGGTGGCGGCGGCCGCGGCGGCCCGGAGCGAGCCGGGGTGCAGGTGTCGGGCTGGACGGGACGGTGGGATGGGCTTGGACGGCGCCAGGTTCGGGGCTGCTCCAGGAGGGAGGAAGAAGTTGGGGAAAGGCTCAGAGAGGGGCCCTTGAGAAGAGAGGGAGGCTTGAGTCTGGGGAGCTCGAAGACAGGGCAGAAAACAGGTTGGGGGGTGGGGAATGGAGGCCCCGTTAAAAAGGAGAGGTTTAGAAGCAAGGGGTTGGGTTGGGGAGCGACCTGGGCAAGCCCTAGCCCTAAGCAAACAAGTTTGTTGCCCTAGGCGGAGGAGACAGTTAGTTGGACTGCAGTGTGTGGTAGTGAGCTCGCCGTTCCTGGCGTGGAATGTGGACGCCCCCCCAGAGTGTACAGAGGGGACGCTCGTGGCGAGGGCGACTTAGTGGCTTGCGGGTCTCCTTCTGTCACCTGGAGTCTGAGGGGCATTGAATTCCTTCATGCACCGCACAGGAAGGGAAAAGTTAGAGGAAACCACCCAGGTCTGTCTTCCAGGGCTGTCTCATGGCAGGCATTGAGGCCATGTCTGTAATAAAAGTAGCGGGCGGGGGGTGGGAGGCTGCTCTCCAGAACTGGCCCCCCACGCCAGCGACACCTGTCAGAAAGTTGGAAGTCTGCTCTCTCTCCCCCTAGGGAGCGGCAGCAGCCGCCACCCCGGCAGGGAAGGAACCTGAGGAATCCCGGCTGCCCAGCGACCCTTCTTCACTTTTGGAAATGGCCGGTGAAATCACAGAGACTGGGGAGCTCTATTCTCCCTACGTGAGTTTTACTTTTAGAACCTGTTTTACCCACGTCGTTGCCACGGGATCCTAGAGAAGCACCGTGCTTCCTGGACCGTACTACAGAGGACAGCTGCTTTGAGACCCTGGTGAAAGCCAGGGAGGGGAAGGCCATTCGGCTACAGCCATGTTGCTGCTGCCCTGGCTCAGAGCATGTGATGAGAGTTTGTTCACGTGTTGGATGCTGGTCAGAGTGTGTGGTCAAGGAAGCAAAGCTGACTTGCAGATTCCTTGTGATCTTGATGTCGGGGCCACCAGCACTTGTAAACTGTGCTGCTGCTCAGGGATGGTGATTGACAGCTGCAGACTCTGGGTTTGCCCATCTCAGCAGTTTGAAAGCACTTTGGTTGCCAGCTGAGTTTTCAGTTGTGCAACTTTTATGGTCTTGGATGGCGTAAGAGGCAGAGAAAGCTTGCAGAGACTTCCAAGTGCAGTTTGCTGGAGTCTGTAATTAGAACAATTAGAAGGATTGATTTCTTACTGTGTTGGGTCTGTGTCTCCCCCACCACACACACACCCCACCTCCCACAGGTGTGCTCAGTGTATCTTCTTGGTGTAATGAAAGATTGGTCTTGGTTACATCACAGCTAGGTATGCCGGATACCTAGCTGGAGGATTAGAATAATCAAGTGATTGACTCATGGTGCTACTAAGTATCCCAGGGATACTTAGCAGCACTGCCTGAAGTAACAAAAGCCCTCTTTCTAGAATTTACCTAACCTTAAGCAGCTGCCCCGCTATGCACTTAGTTCCTAGTCTGGGAATCCCTGCTTTGTCTCTGCTGACCTCACAGACTCTGGAGCTGTGGCGCGATCGATAAGAGAGCATCTCAGAAAACAGCTGGCAGAAAGCCTTTCTGACATCACGGTCTTCCAGCCGGGTCTGTGTCTTGTGTGTGTAGCACCGAAGGAGACTCCTTTCTCTCCGTAATTTAGCAAGGGAAAGTGTTTCTCGAACTTTGAACTGAATCTAATTGTGTTTCTCTCATCCGAGGAATTATCTAACAGCTCACAGCCTCCCCTCGGCGTCAGCAGTGAAATGTCCCCACCGTCCGTACAAGTTGCTGCCCTCCCTGCTGCTGCTCAGAGCATGTGTTGGTTTAGAGATGAGAAGATGAGTTATTTCTGTAACTGGGTTTTAGAAAGGAAAAAACTCTGACATGCACAGTTTTCTGGGGTCTCCAGTTATTCGCATAATCATTTCACACATGTACCCACAGGAAATTAGGCGGTGAGGCCTAAAAGTCTCAGTGGGCTCTGCTCCCCACCCCCAACTTTCCTGTGTGTTTGGTTTCGTTTGAGGTCTATGTTTAAGGGCATACTCTGGGCATTTGCCATAAGCAACTGCTTGCGTTCTCTTATCCTGCCCCTACCGGTGGAGAGAGATGTAGAGAGGTTGGGTAGTGAGGCGGCGTTAGCCGAGAGTTAGCGGTCAGGCTTTGAGGCGAGACCGTGCCTTCTTCCTGAGGTTTCCCTAGGGACAGTGGTTCTCGATCCCTCGTGAGACCAGAAGGGCATAGGTTCACCCTCTGCTGAGCCCAGGAAAGCGGTGGAACTCACTTCACTACAGACACTGCTCTGAGTCCCCTGCTCCATGCAGTGCAGCCGGACCTGCTCTCCAGGTCCTGGGAAACCGAGACACTGAGCACTTACTTGGTTCATGGAGGTACATCAGCCCATGACGAGGGTTATTCCCAATGCAAAGCCCCTCTCCTGCCTCAGTGTTGCCCTCTTGTCCGCTCTTTTCCTCTTCAAGGGCGTCCGGGATGTTTGCCTTAGCTTGCATTATTCTGTGTAAATTGTGTGCAATGGGCAGGCCAGCCTCATGGGACTCTGGCGACAGGCCCTCTCAGTGGTAGCACTGGGCTCACAGCATGGTTCAGGCCCGCACATCCCCCTGGAAGTGATCCCAGAACAGGCATGTCTGGGTTCCCTGTGTACGGGGACCAGGAGCGGCTCAGGGCTGCAGGGATTATGGGACCCAAATAGAGGACGACGTGGGCTGCCGAGGGCCCCACCAGCCCAGTCTTGTGAAAGATCGTTGCCTTTGCTTTCGAAGGAAAGGTCACTCGTTTCACAGTCTTAGATCCTAGTCATTGCTTCCGCATCTCTGCTGCCTTCTGTTTCCTTTGACAACTGTCACTGGGGAAGCGGACGCAAACCGCCCATGCCGCCCGCCTCTCGCCCATCTGTGGGTGAGCCCGCTGGGTGGGAGGAAAGGCAGCAGGAACGCCGCACTGAGCTCCCTAAGCACGGGGGGCAGGTCCACCATCCAAGGGAGTGGGGGAGAAAGGGAGGAGGCACTTCAGCCTGCAGAGGGCTTGATTCTTCTGCTCTCGGCCATACCTTCCAGGAGGTAGTCCCCACACAACTGGCAGGAGAGACCATCCGTCTCCTTCCTCCCCCTCCTCCCGCCCCCACAGCTGCCTTTGACCTGTTGTGGCTCAGCTCTGACTCGCCTCCTGCTCCATAGTCGCCTCCTGCTCCATAGTCGCCTCCTGCTCCATAGTCCTCGTAATCGGTCCACACCAGCACCATTGTTGAAGGTCGAACGGCTTTAACTCTCACCAGGGAGGTGAAGAAGTCTCACGTTACCTTGCAGGGTTCCCAGAGCCCCACTAGGCCCTGAGTTCTTACTTTGAAGCTAAAAAAGAGCGACGGCATAAGACAAATGAGATTATTCATTTCTGCTCCCAACTGCCCGTCCCCAGTTAGCTTCTCCGTCAAGTTCTTGAAGGATCTTTTGCACTGAGACTTACCTAAAGTGTCCATTGAGAGTGTGTTTATTTCATTGTTTATCCCCAGTGGTTCTCAGCTGGTGGCAGTCTTGCCGCCCCCACCACACACACACACAAACACACACACACACCCCACCCCAGGACATTTGGCAGTGTCCAGAGACATTTGTCACAGTCACAACACAGGTGCAAGGTTGGGGGGTACTGGACCCTAGTCAGTAGAGGCTGGGGATGCTGCTAACATCCTACAGTCCACAGGGCGGCCCTACCACATCTGGCCCCAGATGTCAGAAGTGCTAAGGCTGGGCTGTGTGATGGACCCTTGACCTTTACATCACAAGACCTTTAGGCATCGCTGCATTCACAGTTGCCTCTTGTACTGTTTCATCTCTTTATAAAACTTTTGGCTAAGAACCTTCACTTTCTCCTTGCTTAGATCACGAGAACCTTCACGGGGGGCCATTTTCCATAAAGAGAAAGGGTCCACCCTTCTTAAATGTTACTGCTCAGAAAAGTGATATGCAGAGAACAAAGCTGCAGGGAGCTGTAGGGACACGGTTCAAACTTGTTTTAATCCTTTTGGGATCTGTCTATGGGATCAAACGGGGACTGTGATGTTTAAAACGGGACAAAGACTGGGACTTACGTCAGAGAAGACCTGGCCAGGTCCAGTCAGCTCGGCGGAGGATTCCTAGCTGGAGACTGTGTGCCCCACACCCTGAGAAGTGACACACGGGCCACGGGGAGCCTCACAGGGGGCAGTGGGGAAAAGATAACACTGAAAACCCAAACTAGGGCATAAGCGTTCTTGTTCCAGGGTTCAAAAGAGGGGAGCAGGACTGGAAGGGTTTTGTGGTGGAAGCAGCGTTAGAATGTGTCCGAGTGTTGGGTGTGATTTGAGGGGCTGGGCAGGGGTCAGGGGGTGGGTGCCCTCTGCCAAGAGTAAATGGACAGTGGGCAGAGCTCTTTCCCGTCCCTCCTGTCCAGCACTCAGATGTGCTCTCCACACCTGCCTGGAAGTCTGGCCCTCCCTAATCACTTCTCCCCCAAGCTCTATTTAAAATAAAAAAATTCTGACTGAGGTTAGGAAAATGGCCCCAATATGTATGTTTCTGATTAAAAAAAAAAAAAAAAAAAAAAGTCAGTACATGGTTAT